CCCAAATGGCCTTGCAAAAGCAGCGCATTTTGAAAGGAAGCAATGCATGCTGCTAGCATGCAATATATGCAATAGCAGCAATACAATTCAACGTAATCTGGCCATGTACATTATTGTATGTGCTATGGTTGCAGGGAAACACACAGCCCTACGTTTTATCGTCCACACAGAAAGCGCAGAAAGGAATTTCGATGCATACCCGGCGGTGCTCAGTACTTTACTTCCTGCACAGCAAGCCATTTCATATACATGTCATTACGTATGTTTCATGCTGCATTATTGATTCCGGCGGCTTACAAGATGTTTCACTCAGTTTTGGCTTGGACTCCTACACATTTTCAAAGCAAGCGTTCCGCCTCCAAGCAACCGCATCGTCGGTTGAGTTCAGAATTGATCTTAACTCCATTGGGAGCCGAGCATTGGTCTTTGCGAAGTACTTCGGACAGCCTCCAAGGCTTTAAAAGCCTCCAAAGCGTGGGAGGCATGTGTGAAATTGAGTCAAAGCCAGTGCAGTTTGAATCATTTTGTCAAGAAAACGTGACGCACGTTGTCACGCTCCTCTATGGAGCGGCAGCGACGGCATTGACCATATTAGCGCTCAGGGACATGGCGCAACCGGGATTCAAACTCAGCCTTTCCCTCGCCTCGCTTATGTTTTCGCATTGTTCAACAATTGTCTACGTCATTCATAAGCTTCTACGGAGCCACGTCTAGCGCGGGCTTTAGATCCAGCAGGTAGAACTTTTGGCGCGTGCGTGAGAACTCAACACGGACTGTGCGCCAAAGCCCCGAGACGGCTCACCCGAGCATCATTGTGCCACGTCACAACCGCGTGGGGCCCCTGACCTTGACCTTGCACTCCTGCGCCACAGCGGGTTGGCCTTCATTCCCACGCCGTTCAGGCTGCGGACGCGCGGGGCTTTTCGACGATTCACGTACCCAAGCACCATGCATGACTACGTGACGGATCCACCAGCGTTGCCGGACAAGCGGACGTTTCATTTAATCCAGTTAATCGTTGCGTTGCCGTCATTTTGGGCCGTGAATCACAGTAACGGGATTACATGTTTAGGACTGGGGATCGCTTCTGTGCCGCCAGTGATGATTCGGCACGTATTTTCGTTAGGATGACACTCAAAGCAGACATCCCAGGTAAACAATTAAAACTTTCGCACATGCTCTTGCCCTGGCAGCCCTCATGCATTTTATGAAGCGTGCCTTTGGGCGAATCAAGTCATGATGTGCGATAAGGATATCGGGCATCCACAGTACACATTTTGGTGGCGTTCACATGTCCTTCGTCTGGTATCCCCAAAGTAGTTTGCACATCTTTTCACTGGGTAAATCAATTTGCGGATGAGCATTATTGTAAAAAAAATGGTTATAGAGACTGAACTGAAATATATCGAGCACATTTTACCAAAATGCGTACTCAAGACTTCAGAAATGTAAAAAAAACAGACGTGGATCGAAATGGCTGGAGAAATGTCAGTCTGGCAACTCGCAGAAATGATTCCTTCTATTGAAGATGGAGGTGGTTGGTGAATCTGGCAACAAGCAAATAAATGCTTATGAAGCTTAGATAACATGACGTAAGTTACGGTTGTTAATATAGATTTTCCATTTACATTTACCTCCGAGTGCAACAAAAAAATATTCCAAACCTTCCCTGTCACTTTGCCACAAACAGCACAGATTTATTCGTCCCCCCCCCCCCCCCCCCCAGAAGCAAGAGCCTTGACCATCCGTGATGAATGCTTTCGTTTTTTTAACGTCGGAGCGCTGTTCGCGTGTGCATTACGCAAACGTTCACTGCGTGCTGCTAAGACGTGGAAGCAAATCATTGTAGGAAATCCACCAGTGCGTTGCGTATTTGGCGGCATCTGCGTGCTGTTCAATAATGAGGTTTGTGTGCATGTCCTGCTTTTAATACGCATTTTACGGCATTAATTTGTACCGAAAACCGCCGTCAGTCCCCTATGACGCAGTTGGTTAGAACGTTTACCTTTCCATCCACTCATCCGTGACGGGGGGGGGGGGGGGGGTCTGAGCCGCCTCAGGCGTTCGCTGTTTGCTCCTGTTTGGGATAGCTGGCGGCTGGTGGTAGCGGTCATGCTGGAGGTCAGGTAACGCCAGGGGTCAGGACGGAGAGTGACGAGCATTGCTGCCGCAAGGTTGTGCTATTCAGATTAGATTACTACAGCTAGATTATTTTCGTCGCCGAAATAACTAGTGAATTTGGCTGCCGAATCGTCGTAATGTCGTTGCCATAAATGTACTTTTCTTCATTTTACGTTTACAAATTTGGTTCCATGGAACAATATCAAAGAGAACCGAGCAGTGAAATGACAAATAGGTACGTGGCGAAGAAACAAAAACGCTTCCCCAGTAAAACATGCCGACTGCTTTGTTGACCTGAGAGCATTTCATTGGTTTTACTCCTGTGTATATTGCCTTGCGTGCTCTTCAGCTCTGTTCAATATCGCTATCGTGAAAGGGCCGCCATGATTTAAAACACTGCCAAGATCAAACACTCTCAGGTCGCATTTGATTCCCGTTGAGTGGGACTCTTGAGTGAGAGCGAAGCGAGTCTCCAGTCGAGAGACCCCCGTCGTCGCATGGATCAGTCCCAACACTCGGCTGAATTATTGCAGCACAAAGATTGGAATGCTACTAAGTAGAATACTAGAGTAGACTGCTACAGTAGTGTAAAGTGAAGTGCAGTAGAGAAAAGAGTACTGGCGTAGAGAACGATATGGAGTGAGTGGCTGAATGGCAAGAATTTCTACATGCTTAGCTAAGAACGATTTCTTCAGCGGGGCCACTTCTCAGGTCTTTTTAGCACGATCTCTTTTACCCTAAAAAATAAGTCAAGCCTCGTCTCCGCCTTTGTGAAGTCCCGCTGAGCCACCGCATCGACCATGAATTGAACGGATGTTGTTAGGCGCAATGTTTGACAATGCCGTCACGCGAACAGCCTAAATGTCTGGGAGAAGGTGTATTTTGGGGTTAGAGATATCTGATTATTAGGCCTGCTCCCGAGCCTGCTTTGTCACATGCAAATGGAAATCACCGAATCAGAAATAAGTGTATGTCGTATTCTTCAAAAGTAAATAGTGGTGCTCAACGAACACTTTCGAAACTGAAACAGCATCTCACAGTGCATGAAATGTACCGGAATGCATGTAATGTAGTGTATGGAATGTGCATGCGCATAGAATGTAGTGTATGGAATGTGCATGCGCATGGACTGTAGTGTCCATGTCATAGTGCATGGAACGTAGTGTATGGAATGAGAGGCACAGTCGCGCCCGCTGTTGCTGACTTCCGCCGCCACTGCAAAACACCGAAGGTTAGCCGGACGCAGCGCCACCACAGGGACAGTCCCCGACTGGCGACACGTGCAGATAAGGCCCCGGACCGGCGCCCGACCGGCGCCTGGTCGCCGGGCAGTTACCACCCTCCGAATACCCTCGGTCGGTGGGGGCGACACATGGTCTGGTTCTGCCCACAGACCGTTTATGGATAGAATCCAGCAATGGAGCGTTGCGGTGGGAGTGCTCGCTGTTTGTGCCATCAAATGCAACTTTTGCATCGCTTCACAAATAACGTTTACCATCATTCTGATTCTGCATGCACCCATCGTTTTTGTTTTACATTCGATGAACCATAAACGAGACCCGCTTCGTCGAATATGTTAGGCCGTTTTATTTACATGTTTTGCTCTGCGTTCCAGCCCATGCCAAGCTTCTAACACAATTGCAGTTTAACATCGGCTTGCACTGAGCAGGCAGTTGCGATGCAATGTGGTAGGCGAATCAAATCGCAAAGTCCAATGCGCTGCTTCCCCACAGCAAAGTTATAGTTGAGTGAGCACAAATGAGACATTTCAGAGACTGACTATATCTTAATGACAATAACACAAAATATCTTGAGACCACGGGACGTAGCCTAAACCTGCCTAAATTCGTCGAGTAATCATTTTGGGGGTTAGATTATGGCGAACCTGTTGGATGAGCCCCCCCCCCCCCAAGCCGATTTTGGAAAGTGGGACGCCTGGCCATGAATCATGCAACAATGCTGCCGAGCGTCGGGGCTGACACCGGACATGCATTTAAGGAAGATGGTTGAGCTAATTGTACGAAATATTAATAAATATATAATTTTTATGTACCCGCTAGGCAACAGCAGTTTGAGCAACAACCTTACGTGTGCGCTTTTACGCACAGCAGATTTCCTTCCCCCAAAAAACTGGTAACTGTGGCTGATGGCTTGAACCTAATTTTCACTCAGTTACATTGGTTCCATGAAACGTCACACAATTGTGTGGTACTGCGGCGAACGGGGGGGGGGGGGGGGGAGAGGGGAGGGGAAGGGGCAACAAACACAAACAACTCGTGTCTTCTCGAGTTCCGAGCCAAATCTAGGACATTCTGAGCAGTAGGAGAAATAGAAGAACATTCTAGCAGTGAAAGTTAAACGCTAGAAACAAATAGCAAAACCAATTTCGTTGGCATTTATACGAGCTCGGAGAGTCGCGATATGCAATCATCACGACTCTTCTGCTAAGCACTTGTTTGAATAGGACCACAGACCAGGCAGAGGGGTTAGGGGGATATGGGGTAGAGGGGTGCGTGGCACAGTCACTTGCATCACCCATGAGGACGATTAAAATAATGCGCACTTATGACATTTGTGCGCAGTTGCAGGCAAGCAGAAACGGTAATCATCATATGAGCGGATATGATCTCATTGTCGAGGATGACACAGAGGCCGGGCTGAACATCAATGTCAAACAAAAGGCTATTGCAATCACCACACACCGTCACGGCCAATTTACGTTTACATCTCTGTGGAAGCGGAGCGCAGACAAGAGTGTTGAATCCTGGTCATCAGCGCTATTTGGTAGTCAATTTTGTCTCGTTAGCGAAACGTGTGCTGGCCTTGTGCCGAACAGTGAAAAGCGACCACATCCGCCTGCTGCCACATTGCGACATACGAGTTCGGCTGAGCAGCATCTCTCTTCTTCCCCCCAGCTTGCTGGTAGTTCCTGCTGGTGAGTGCAGCTTTTCTGTAAACTTCTATATAAATTGCTCTGTATGTGCCAGTCATGCAGTGTGCATGCGTCACGCGCATGCGCAGCCAGCTTTAGGGTCGGTGTGCGTAAACCGGCGCAAGTTTGTGTGAGGCATGACATGGAATTATTCAAAAACGTTTGATACACTTGCCGCTACCGGTTCGTCGCTTGCATAGGACCGCATATACCTTCAATACTCTTCGACACGTGCTGACGGAACTGTACGCACAAATACGCTGTTCGGGCAGCGTGGTCACGGCATGGGCTTACGAGCGCTAACACACGTTGCATTCTCCGGTATCGCAACTCGTGGGCTCAGCAGTGATTGCTATGTTTGTTACTGTTCGGCCGTTGCGCATTCCAGCCGGTCTAGAGGGGAGGACACCATGCACAAGCGGAGGGGATGCATCTTCAAGCAAGCTCAGCATGTCCGCGGCGTGCATTGCAAGGTGTCTCGAGACCAGCCCGTCTAGGGATGTTTCCCCTCTGACCCTCGACGCGGGCCCGTCAGGGGATGTCTCCCCTCTGTCCCTCGAAGCGGGCCCGTCTGGAGATGTCTCCCCTCTGTCCCTCGAAGCGGGCCCGTCTGGGGATGTCTCCCCCGAACCTTCGAGACCGGCCCGTCAGGAGATATCTGCTCCCGGCCGAGCCGCCAGACTCACATGCGATCACCTGCCGCGTTTCAGACGAGACCATACAGCTGTCTCGGCGAGATGTTCTCGACGGCGATCGTGCTGATTGTTCTCGGCTGCGCGCTGCGATCGTCCGCGCAATTCCCCAGCCCCAGCGGTGAGCCCGTTTTTAGTGGCTCTTAACTTATCGAAAGTTTTGCTGATGGCGTGCTTCGTCTGCGTTGGAGCTGGTGTATGCTCGATGAGTTCTGGTATGACACCTCGTTGCCCGCATTGCTATCTTGGTGCCGCACTGAGATGCGCTTCTTTCACGCATACAGCTGGCGAATCAGCTGGATGACAGATGTGTTTTTCCTCGACAGAAGCACAAGCTAAATGCTGCCCCCATTGGTACAGCGGAAACTTGGCCGCTTTCCACAAGTGCACCTCTAAGTACGGGTTCTGGCCCATCTGTCCCCGAGATCCTCTCGCGTTCGGTAAGTAATTTTCTTTCCGCTGGAGTGTTTTTATTATTTCGGCGCGCCAGTCGCTTTTCCATGACGACTGTGTTTATTTGCAGAAAACGTTTGTATTTGAGAGCACAAGTAAGTTGCTGGTAAGGAGATAAACTTACGATTCCACCGCTTTCAAGAGGCCTGAAGAAGCTGCTCTTTGCTGATTATGGGCGGCACACACACACACACACACGCTACAGATTCCTGTCATTAGTCCGGGCAGGATACGCCACATTGCAGGGAATGTGGAACTCGTTTGGCCGTGGGGATGTTCTCATTTCGTGCCAATGCTGTGCTGCGGATCGGCCATGCTTCTTGTTCTCCAGCGCCACTGTTGCAGGCTGCCGATACCGGGGACAATGGTACGCAGTCGGCAGCATCATTGAAGCCAACGCCAAGAAGTGCTATGAAGTCCACTGTGTGCGCAAGGCGCCGTCTTTGTGGCCGTCCGTGCGCATAAAGCACATCAGCAAGGAATGCAACTGTAAGCGTTGAGAGGAAGCAGGAGACGCGGCCGCGGGACCCGCGCGTGCTGTTGACACGTGTCGCGTGCGATGATGTAAACCTTCCGACCATCTTTGGAGGCGATTCACTGTTGCTTTTGCTTGACTGTATTGGTAAACAAGGTTTTGTCACTGTTGGCAGTTCAGTTCTGCTTTGCAGCCAGTTCAATCTGGATGCGCTTAATCGCCATGACGATATTCCATGCTCACTTCGCAACTGTTATAAGCCCAGCAGCTGGCCCAACCTAATTCCGTACCCCGCGATTTGTTGTACATGCAACTCTGCCAGACCTACAACTTCGCTGCAAGTAACTTTGCTCTCGACAGGCTGCGAGTTCAAGGGGCGGATATATGAGCATGACCATATCATCCATCTGAATGAATGCGAAAGGATCCAGTGCAACAACGGAACCTGGGAAAAACTACCGCAAGCGCCTGGAGACACCTGTAGGTAGACTCTAGCTAATATTGCGTGGCAAGCGCAAAATATATCCATATCCAGGATATCCACGATATCCACGATATCCAGGATATCGTGGCAGGTGACATGAGGGGGTCCAGAAATCGATACTGAAGTGGCTGAACCCGTTTCTTCACGCAAGTGTGAGGAATGCGAAAAACGGTATAATTTCTACGTTCTTGAGGAAACATGGCCTCCCTCGTAGCATTTGTGCATGCATTTTTCTATGCTGCCCTGGCTTCCCCACAAGGCATAAGCCCGTCTGAACTCCAACGCATTTGCGATATTAGGAGCCGGCATCAGGGACGGTATCAACAGAAAACGCGCGCATGCATCTAGGGAGCAAAGCCATTTAAGCCATTTCTATCGTCTCCCGACATCCCCTCACCGCAGGAACGCCACCACTGCCCACTCACCCCCACCGGTCCCGCCCTCCGGCAGGGGCATGCCCCGCAGGCTCCACGCCCTGGGACGACTTCTGCATCTACTTCTGGCCCGTCATCATGAGCTGGCCCGACGCCCAGAAGATCTGCCACCTGCTCGGCGGCTCGCTGATCGTGCCGCAGGGGCCGGACGACAACGAGATGATCGCCGACGGGCTACGCGGCGCCGGCGGCTGGCTGGGGGCCAGCAACGGCAAGTGGCCGGACACCAGCGGACGCGCGTGGAAGGTGTCGCCATGGGCACGCGGACAGCCCACCAACGGCACCGGTAACACGGCTGCGGCGGATTCGGATGCCGAAAACGAGGGTGTTTTACAATGTTTGGGCAGTGATCCTTTTGTGGTGTGTTCGTTGAAAATGATAGCGTTTTCAGCAGAACCCATTTCAATGTAGCCTCTGATGTCAGTTCTTCATGTGTTGCAATACAGTGCACGAGTAAATGGGTTGCATGAAACCTAATGCTACGATATGTTGTTACGATTGGGAATGCATTTTTTTGGCATTACGAAGGGAGTACATGCGGAATGGCGTGGTACGTGATGCAATGACCCGATTTAGACCCGATTTTAAGTTTTAGCTGAACTGCGTTAAAATCCTATGCTAACTGTGGCATTCTTTATTTCTGTTTTGCTGTGACAGCGCTACAAAAGTTCAAAAATGGCGATGAAGTCAATGAGCCAATTTGTGCCTGTTTTCCCGGGTTTGTCTCTTCCAGGCCTCTTACAAACCATCCCAGTGCACGAGCAGTAGTTTGACGTCTTCGGCTCCGCGCGGCAGCGGTCCCGTCTCCGGAGTCGTCACCACACCTTCTGTCGTTCCCTCTCCGCAGCTGACAAGTGTCTGGGCATCGCCTCCGGTGACCGAGCGTGGAGCGCGCTGCCCTGCGACGGGGCAGACCACGCCCTGAAGCCGATCTGCTTCGTGAAGAAGGTCCCCTGCGATCAGCGCGGATGCGTGGTGAACGGCGAAAATTTTGACCACGGAGATGTCATCCACCTCTTCGACGACTGTCACCGCATCATTTGCGACGACGGATACCCAGTGCATGAAGTTCGTCCCGAATGTAAGCGGGTTTCGTTTCGTAATTAGGCGTGTTTTGACTTTTGAGAGGCTTGATTATCGCGCTCTGAACAACTGACTTGAATGTTTTTGATGTTGAAATGATGAATTTGATTTTTTTTTTAAATTTGAAATTTTTTGAAATTGAAATTTTTGAAATTGAAAAAAAATTGAATTTTTTTTAAAATTTGAGATGATGAATGAAAAGGACATAATTTAGCTAACAGCCCTACATGAACTTGGTAGTCCGGTTGCGGGTGTGCCCCGTTCAGGTTTCTCTTCCGACAACCGTTCAGATGTTTCCGTCCATACGCGTTGACGCAACTTTTCTTCTCCCTCCGTCTGCATCCAAGCCTTGTTCACCTTTATGCATATCAGCCCGCCTCTCCTGGCGTCTTGCTGCCCCATCACGCTCCCGACTGCGGCCGTCGTGCAGTGCCAGGCGTCCATGGACCGATAAACACATCGTCATCGTTGTACGCCACGCCTGTCGTCCGTTACAGGCTGCTACTTCGAGGGCTGGCAAGGACAATGGGGCGCCGGTTACTACCCGCCGGGTTTCTTCAACCCATTCCCGCACATCCATTGCTACTGCCACAAAAACGGCCAAGTCAACTGCCTCGACAAACCCATCCCCGAGGAAGAGCTGACACCGGTGAAGGAGTAGCGGGAAACGGCTCCCCGATCAGCTGACCCAAGACACGACGAAACTTCGCGCGCAAGCGAACGCTGATTATCCTGCAAATGGAGATGGCTTGGCGCCGTGGAGATGTGCATTTTAACCACATGTAATGCTCCCAAGTGCTTGATCAACGTGTGTTTGAGCTGCTGCTAACAACGGTACATACCGGGCGCAAATTACATAGGCCCTTAACATTTCTTTTCGGCGCCTTATGATATGAAAGGTATTTGCTGTCGTTGCTCAACCGATTGCCATGCATAACTGTTTTTCTTGCAGATTTGTATGTCATCGGTCAGTTCCGCTTACTGGTATATTGTCTGGAAATCTGTTGCTGCTTCCTCTCAAAGTCGTCATGACCTGGGATCGGTTGAAAACTGCACATAGATAGGAAACGTGCACAACACTCGTCTTATCGAAATGGTTGATTTGAAGTACGGCTCCGGCCCGATGCACAGCAATGCAGCTTGTTCTCCATTTCATCATGAAATACATCAAACTCACCTCCATATGTGTTTTCCTGGACTTCCACCTGCTTCCGCCAAGGCGTAGATCCACCCATCTGTCAAGGGGTAGATATTTGAGGACTCCGAGGGTGGTTTAACCTATTTCGCCAAAGCATAGCTTAAGTTGAAAATGTGTGTAATTTAGGTAGTCTTCAAGTTCAGTATAGCGCACTGGGCCTGATCCTTTGAGATGAGCGTACTCGCTGAATGCTTGATGGCGTGTTAACACGCGATCAGGTGGGAAGGGGTCAATTTAACCCACCGAAGGTTTTCCAGAATCATTTCCGAAAGGCGCAGCGCAGCGGCTCAAAAGTTTTGCATAGCTGTAGACAATTAGAGATGGATCTTTTGGTGCCAATCAAGATGTAACTTCCAAAGTCAGGCCTGCCGACTTTGTCAGGTAGTTGATACGAGTGGTGGCGCCACTTTTGAGCCAACAAGCCCGCAGTCTGCGCACCAAAATAGCTCAAAATGATACTTTTAACCCATCGCAGCCGACAACCGCAAGCAGGTTTTGTATTCGTCATGACGACGGCGGTTGTCATGACGATGGTGGTCGCGACGCAGTTTTTGTGAACGCGAGCAAATTTCTGGGGCTACCAAGGAAAGGAGAAGTGTAGTGCTGGTACAAAGTGTTGACAGCATAACTTGGACTCGAAAATAATCAAAATTTATATTCTTAGTATAGACTGATGCCACTGTAGTAGCTTTCACCAGTGACATTATTGAACGTAAATGATCCGGAGATTTTACCAAGGTATGCTTTTGAATTTTTTTTTGCTCCAAAAGTTGGGTAACTCCATTAAGTGGAAATAAGAGAACGCATCATACGTTAATACATGCTGTGAATGCATACTGGTCAGCCATGACACGCAACAGGACTCGTAATTAGCTTGTTGGCCGGTTACACGCCCCGTGAACGCGCGCAAATTGGTCCGCGTTTGGTTAATTATGCTGCCGATAATTGTGGGCACTTCGCCAAACGTTACCATTGCCAAACACGGGGCAAAAGCTGCAAGCTATGCGTCAGAGGTACGTATGTCACAACAGCTTCTTCGGCTTGGAGTACGGTCGCCTGTGTGTGACGTAAGGATCTGTGACCTCATAGATAGTAAGCCAGGAAGGTACTTTGCCAACAGGGAATGTGGCCCAGTCGGAAGCGTCCGAGCGGGTCGAACGGTGAGGCCACTGCATCGGGCGAGGTCCGGGACAGGCCGGCGGGCGTACGCAGGTTTCCACATTGGAAGGGGAGTGGGACTGCTCAACATTTTCTGCTGAAAACCGAGTTAAAGCGCCAAAAGCACGGGCAATTTCTCGCTTATCTTAATGCAGTGTCGCGTGTTTCCGACATTCTTACTTGCACGCGTCTAGCCGAAACTGTTAAAAACTGATATTTAGTCACGTGCATATCAATACAGCAATACATTTTGTGAGGAGAAAGGGCAGCTGTCTCCGCGGGCGTTATACACGTGCGTACGCCGTTGGGTGCAATGCAGGCTGGGCTGCGTTGGTGGCGGCGGCGGGTGCGAGCCGGTCGGTGCCGGCGTCGGAACCGACGGTTCGACGCACGTCGGCTTCACACGGCCTACAGAGATGATGCCCTTCTTGCCCGCGCACCGTGGCGCCATGATCTGCGGGATGCGTTGAACTACTCGCGTGGAAGGGGCGGTTGAGAGCCCGGTCGTATCACGGCGGCTGAAGTCGCGGTTCGCGTCAACATGGCCGGCAAACACGTATGACGGTCGTGATGACGGCAGCTGTGGGCGGTGGGTCGGAGGGGTCGCACGTGTCGGCGAGGGACGCGCACCGGCTGGTCGGAGAAGAATCTCGAACGGTCGGAGAAGACACCGGGCAGAGTCCGTGGTTTACCGTAGACGGGATCCATTGCGGTGAAATCGAGATCCTCTTTGCCTCGCGGTGAAACGAACAACGAGAATGGCGAGTGCACGAAATAATAAAAAGCAAACTAACTGCAATAAGCCGGATATAACATATGGCGTTTCATGCAGCGTTCTAAACTGGAAATTATTGTATGAATTATTCATTAGTGCTGGTAAAGAACGCTCCGGCTTTGCCCAGTTACCACAAAGAGTGCACGGCAACCATGCGTTGCAAACTGGAAACAGGAAAGTACAGGCAAGCCCTTCTAGTTCCATAAAAATCTAGAAACCTAGAATCTCCAATAAAAAGACTACGACTTCAGCGTTGCATCATTTCTGCCAGAACTCATCGTTTGCTCACAGCAAGCGCCGTAAATGGGCCCGCTAATGTTTCATAGCGCTAGTTTAGTGCCAACCCTGAAATTGTCACGATCTTGATGTTTTGATTCCGTGACTGGCGCAATTCGCGACCGGCGCGCTTCAAACCAGCGGCGCGGTAGCGTGTGTGGTGGTACAGATGGAGGTTAGCAAAGAAGATATATGCCAGTTGGCATACGAAGGTCATGTGGACAAAGTTAAGGAGCTCATATTGAAAAATAACAAATATGTCACCAAACAAGATGAGGTAAATATCGTGGTGTTACGACTGGTGTTTGTGCTCCGCGCACGCCAGCTTTATTGATGTGTCGTGCAGATCCGATACCCTGATGAGATTTTCAAAAGTGTTATTTGCCAGCTGTTGTGAAACAAAAGTTTGTTCAAAATTGTGGTAGAAGGGACTTATTTTGCATATTTTTGTTCGTGCAAGAGTCAGTCAATATGCGTACTTATTTGGCAAGCATTATAAAACTCGGCAGCCTGGCTACCCATGTTGCAACATTTACTGGTTTGAAGATATATTGGATGCATGTTTAGTTGGCCCAGCTGGCTTTTATGGAACAAACAAAGCTGCCATGGGCCAAATAACATGCAAGAGATAGGTGTGGACTCAAGTGATGCAATCCCTGCAAATTCCAACCAATATAAACAAAAATGCAAGGAATATGGAACCATTTAGTACTTAAGGATTTTCATGTTTTTCCTTATCTTTATCCTCACATATCACTCAGGTAACATGATTAGGACAGCCTATCCAGTCCTGAAAAGCAAACTGCAGTTGATTCAAACAGCAAGGTGTTCATTAACTGCCAGCACATATCCATGCTTTTTGTAGGTAGAAGCTGAACTTGAAAACAGATGCAATGCTTGAATCCATGGATGCTCCTTATTACAAGGAGTAATGCTATTAAATTCTGTACTTGCGGCTACCTTTTACTTTTAGTTATCCCAAGCAATCCCCTTAAGTCCTGTTATTCTCACTGGCACTTAATAATGCACTCAGCTGCTGAGGCTATATGGTGTTGCCTGTCCCTTACCCTGACAAAAATGGCAGGCACCATAGGAAATCAAACCCAGAATCTTTGGTTTCCAAGATGCATAGCTTAATCAGCACACTTCTGGCTCACCTCCATACAGCTAATCACAGAACACTGGTGCACATGACAACAGCAAGTAACTAAGGTCATTATGCAACAAGCAGATGCTGGCTGGTGTTTTTGAGAAACAGAGGCTGCTACTCTTGCTTTGCAAAAGTTTGAGCCACAAGAGGTGGCCATGTAACAAGTGGCCAGGCATGTTTAAGGCAGAGCCTTTTAAGTAATTTCTCAAGCACAGCTTTCTTGAATAGGGCTTTCAAAGCAGACCCAGGCTTCCTCTCCCAATGGGAGTATCCTGCTTAGTCCCCAAATAGCAAAACTGCATGTTTCACTGAAATGTTGGGTATCAGCAACATCACACACATCTGTTTTACGTGAATTGCGGCCAAAATCACCTTGTGGCAACAATTCTAGCACACATGCACACACTTAATCTGGTCTCTTAGGCTTTGGTGCACAGTGACAGCAAATTTCAGTGCAAAAAAGCCCAGGTTTCAAGTAATTGTAAGGGTGCAGAGGTAATTTGTGGAAAAATCACTCAGGAACAATTTTGCTGAAGATGTAGGGAACCTTAGTCATTGACACTAACTCTTATTTACATTGCCAGGAGTGTGGATACTTGACAAACTCTTTGCATGTGGCCTGTTTCAGTCTATTCTGCCTCCCTCATTACCCCTTTAATTATTCTGACAGGATGTTCCTGGCATGTTGTGTAACCATATCCAGATTTTCAGCAGCCTATTGAAAATTCATTGCACTTGTTTTGGCACAAAAATGTGTTTCTAGCCTTTCTGGTTTTTGAGCAGCAACATTTTGTTAAGAGGGCTGCATCCAATGAATCTGCCAATCACAGGTGACAAGGTGACACTTGTGTCTGAAATATGTCTGAAATCTGACATTCTCATTACTTGCTCAAAGCATTCAGTAATACATACCAACAGGTCTAAAACTTAACTAGAAGCACACCCATATAAGCTTCAGGTTTCCATGTTTCACAGTTTTCTATATATTGGCATGCTGTACTGCCAGGAAATACGTTATAAAAGATTTACACTTTCAGTAAAAATTGACTGCTAATTTGGTCAAGTAGAAGCAATGGTGGACCTGGTAACTTTATCTTGCTGATCCATTTTTTTCTGCCAAGCTTAATCACGCCAATTTGGAAACAGCAGAGGAGGATCACACCTATCCCCATATATGTTCACATAGTGGAAAACTGTGAATCATAGGAAGGGCTTAGGATGCCATAGTGGGTCATAACTCTTTGATAGGAAACTCATAAGCACTAGCATGGTGTATCTGGTCCGGGCCCTCGCAGCAGCCAAAGCCAGGATGTGTGGAGGGCGTGCCACTGACGGCGGCGCCATGTGTCGGCAGTCAGCCCGGCTGGCCATCCACTGGGCGGTCAGCGGCGGACACATGGACATTGTGGAGCTGCTGCTGGAGCACGGATCGCCGCTCGACCCCGCCGACGACGTGAGTCGAGAGTCCGGCTCCCACTGGTCCGGTCTGGCTCCCACTGGTCCAGTCTGGCTCCCACTGGTCCAGTCTGGCTCCCACTGGTCCAGTCCAGCTCCCACCAGCCCCATCTGGCTCCTGGTCCAGTCTGGCTCCCACTGGCCCAGACCAGCTCCCATTGGTCCAGTCTTGCCCCTACTAGTCCAGTTCGGCTCCCACTGGCGCAGTCCGGTTCCCACTGGTCTAGTCCAGCTCCCACTGGTCCAGTCTGGCTCTCATATGTCCAGTCTGACTGCCAGCCAATCCACGGGTCTGCACACCAGTACAGTCTGTCCAGTCCAGTCTGGGTATTCTTCAGTTCAGTCTTGTGCACTGCCATTTCAGAATGACTGACAGAAGTGCCTTAATTTATTGCATATGAGTGTCAGGCTTTAATGCACATGTGTGCCTGGATTCAATACATGTAGGTGCCTGGATTTAATGCATGTGAGTGCCTAGATCCAATTTTGTTTGTGGTGTTAATCATCTACTTGTCCATCCATCCATGAAGCAGTATATCTGTCTGTGCCTGCATAAGGTTGCTGGCTGCAGAGTTTGTTATGTCTGTCACATGTTATCTATGTTGAGCAGCTGATCACTAATGGTGAGCCAGCCTTTCGCAACTAGCCAAATCTGCTGCGACCTGATGGTCGGCCTGCGCTCTGCCATTGGGGCTCCATGATTCTGTTCTGACCGGACCAGGGTCTCACAGGACCTGACATTCTGTGCCGGTAATGCTTCGAGCTGCAGAGTTTAGTGCCGACTTGGCCCGCCCGCCCCGACAGTCGGGCTGGATGCCGCCGCTGATGGTCCCGCGTGCGGTGCCAGTCCGATCTGACGTGACCTGACCTGACCTGACGCGACCTGAGCTGGCCTGACATGACCTCTTCCCCGCCCGGACAGTCGGGCTGGATGCTGCTGCTGATGGTCCCGCGTGCGGTGCCGGTCTGACCTGACCTGTCCCGACCTGACCTGACGCGACCTGACATGACTTGACTCGATCTGGCCTGACCTGACCTGACCTGCTCCGACCTGCTCTGCCCCGCCCGGACGGTCGGGATGGACGCCACTGTTGATGGTCCCGCGTGCGGTGCCGGTCTGACCTGGCCTGATCTAACCTGACCTGACCTGACCTGACCTGCTCTGCCCTGCTCGGACAGTCGGGGTGGACGCCGCTGCTGATCGGCGCGTCGGCCGGCCGCGCGCCCATCGTGCGCCTGCTGGTGGCCCGCGGCGCCAACGTTAACCACGTGACCCACACCGGCCAGTCAGCGCTCATGTACGCCGCGTCCAAGAACCACCGCGAGGTGGGTCACGCGACGGTCAGACGGCCGCGGCGCCGGCAGCCGGCCTGCCTCGCTGGCCTGGGGCACCGGCTGAAAGCCGCTCGCGCGCCACACGGCAGTGTCGAGTCTCCGCCTTGTAGCGCCTTCTCGAATCGCCGCGGCTCGGTGTCTGGTGCGCGTCGGGACTACTGCGGCGATCTGGTGTGGCGAGCCTGCCCCAGCGGCTTCTGCTGCGCGGTGATGATTGTCCGCCGCGGAGGCTTGTCTGTCGTTCTGGTCTCTGCCGCGTCCGACTGTGTCGTTCTGGTCACTGCCGCGTCCGACTGCGGCAGAGCGTGGAGCTGTCTGGTCACTGCCGCGTCCGACTGCGGCCGAGCCTGAGGCCGTCTGCCCACTGGCTGCTGACGTGCTGCGTTCGACTGCGGCAGATCCTGGAGCTGCTCTTGCGCAGCCACTCGGACCTGAACTCGGCCGACAAGTACGGCAGCACGGCGCTCCACCGGGCGGCCTCGCGTGGCAACCTCCAGTGCGTCCAGCTGATGCTGCAGTACAGCAACCAGCTGGACATCAACGCCGCCGACCGCGTCGGCAACACGGCCCTCCACCTGGCCTGCGAGGACCAGCAGGCGAGAACGGGGCGGGACGAAGCGGCCAGCCGGCGAGCTGGGACCGCAGCAGCGGGTTTAGCTGGGATCAGAAGGGCGGCAGGGCGTGGTGGTGGTTCGTGTGGGTCTTTTGGTCAGCTGGTTTTTACTCAGGTACTTCAGCTTGGAGGAACAGGACTTGCCGGGCATGCCGTTAGCGAGAGAGTGCGGAAAAGTTGGGTCAAGCCAGCGGAGTTCAAACACGGATCTTTGGGATGGCCATTCAGTTGGCCGGCCCCTCCCTCTGAAAACCTTCACATGACGACCATTGTCACGTGTGCTGATCGGGCTGAGGATCTGCGTGACATAACCTGTGACTTGACCTGACCTGACCTGCCTGACCCTCTGACAGGCGGAGGTGGCGCGGCTGTTGGTGCAGTCGGGCGCCCGTGTCGACCTCCAGAACGCCGCCGAGCGCACGCCGCTGCAGATGGCGCCACCGGGCCTGGCGCGCGACCTCCGCCAGCTGGCGCCCGTGTAGCCGCCCTGCGCGCCTGTGCGAACCGCGCCTACCGCGGGCCGCCGGCGCCCGTCTGATCGTGATGCGCGTCGCCAGGCGGCCGCCACTTTCTCACGCACTGTGACGCTCGAGAGTGTGCTTTCTGACGTGGGACGACGTGCCGTTGTGTGCCCAAGGCCGCCTCCGGCTCACGCCCCGCGTGGCCGCCCCGGCCGCGGGGCGCCGACAACGACCACTCCGAGCTGTGATGGCGGCGGGCGGCGGCGACGTGGACTGCCGCGCGCCCGGCCAGAGGAGCCCGTCCCGGTGCCGGGGGGGGGGGGGGGGGGGGGGGGGTCTCCGGAGCTGGAGTGAGGGACGCCGGTGCCAACGGCGACTCGGCTCACTTTTATTGCTTTGCCAGCCAACTGATGTTATCGCGAATGTGTTGCGTATCATCGAAGCCTCGACCTCGAAGCGTGTTGCGAGCATCGTTGCGTCAGGCAAATGCCGCAGTTCTCGGCCGGCCGAGTCGGGTGTTTTGAATGGGAATAACACATCGCGACCCAAGACCAGGGTTTTAGTTTCGGTGCCAGTCGTTCGTGAAGGCGAAACACAAAAGTGAGAGCTTTGTTGGAGAAGAACGGAAATGTGTGCTCGCGTTTGGATGCACATCTGGCGTTCGTGAACGTGATTTCCAGACGTAACGGCCGTCAACTGGCTCTCAATGGATGTGCAAGGTACGATGACGTAATCAATCCGACAACGCGAAGCACACTCACTAAACAGAGAATTGTGCTGTCTAGAGCAGTCTTTTCCGTTACAATGCATACAAATGGTTATGAGTAAGCTTGTTTATCACATCCGATGTTCCAGAATCGTCAAATGTGAAACACTCGCTTCAGCACTTTTGATAGCCGGGCAGGCGCGGGAATTTCGCTAGGTTATTTGAGGTGTCTCTTTTGGTGCGTTCTCTCGCAATTCGACGCGCTCCATTGGCGAGCAGACGTGAATGGGGCTGGCAGCAATGGTTTAGTATTCTGGGTTTTAACGCCCTCCATATCTCGTATTATGGGGTTTTAAGGCCCGCCCACGCCCTGCGGACTGGGTGCAGAATTCGCTGCAGATGCTACGTTAGGCGGTCGTGGACATGACGGGCTTGTAAGCCCGATGACCTGCTAAAGGCGGGTAAAAGAAGCCCGAAATTAGCATCTTCCATGTCTGCAACAATTCGCGACCGTGAAATATGCAACAGATTCTGCAGACTTCAGCTGCTGCATAGACACCAGCGGTACCTCTTGAACTCCGTTTACCCATACGTTGCGGGCCTGCACGCTTAAATGCTAAAATGTCTGGTGCTTACCGCCATTATGGTTGCACAGACCATGTGTTGCTTAGTTTTGCCCCCAGATCGGTGTGTTTTGGGAACTGGGAAATGAAGTGCTATTGCTCGGGTATGTCATGGGATGGCATCAGCTGGAAACCAGAAATGCTGACTGATGATGGAGTTATAATCGACCTTGCTGATGCCTGCCGCATGGCTGATAGTTCTTTTCATAATGTGGTACCTACTTTCATATTTCTGACATATGGGTGAGCATTTTGCGTTCTCTACAGCTTGACTGTGATTGATGTTACATTTAAAAAGTGGGAACGTTTTGAATACTGGTATCCGTGCTCACAATGCCACACAGCAAGAACGGTAGCGATATGCCTTATAATACAGCTCGCAGAGGTGGCGACGCTCCGCTAACTCCACCCACTGCATGACCTACTCCGGTAACTCCACCCACCGTTTGACCTGCTCTGGTAACTCCGCCCACCGCGTGAACTGCTCCGATAACTCCACCCACCGCGTGACCTGCAGGGTCATGGCGCTGGCGCACGCTTGACGTGGCAAGAGAGCCGCTCGCAAAAGCTGGCGCGCTTGGAGGACATGTTCTTGGGCGGCATCACTGTATACGGTCTACCGCGCCCGCTGGACGGCTCTCGCTGGAGATGGCTGCTATGGGCACTGCTCACCACTCTCTTCGGCGCGGTTCTGGTCTGGGGAATCCTGAACGTGACGCTGGAGGCGCTGGTCAAGCGACGCGTCACCTCCAACGTCCGGCTGGAGACGCCGGCCGGGCTGCCGCTGCCGACGGAGATCGCCTGCGACAGCTGGTTCTTCAGCAGCGCCGCCTCCGAGCTGCTGAACGTCTCCACAGGCATGACCGACGTCGTCTCCAGCATCGTCAACGGCGCCATGGGGTTGAACGGGCTGGGCCAGAGTGTCGTCATCAAGCCTCAGGCGATGAATGAGCAGTTGCAAGAGCTGCTCTTGCGTACCACCAAGGGCATTGGAGAGCTCCCTGACAAGCTCTCGCTCTCCTGCGAGCGGCTAGTATCTGCCTGTGACATTGGCAGGGGCATGAACAGCTTCGAGTGCTGCAGCAGCCTCCTGCGACCGGTCCACACACTGTCAGGTCACTGCTGAACCGCTTTCGGCATCCACATGCAGCGAAATTTGTCTGGCTTCCGCTTCGGCGCGCGGCTGAAGTTCAAGCCTGGAAGGAACCGGGCCGCGATGGGCGAGATCGGCATGTTCGCTTCCTTCGCGGACAGCGACAGCATCCAGGTGGCGGTCAGCTACCTCTACACGCCGCCCAACACGCTGACGGCGAACGACGCCGTGCCTGTGGCGCCCAGCGAGACCGTGCGCACACAGGTCTGGAAGGATGCGCGCGGCAAAACGGACGCCGTTACGCCGCTGCTGAACAGCGTGTTCGCCTACCATCAGGTGCCGATGGCGGCCAGCCGGCGGCCCGCCCCCGTTGCCGGCAGGTCCAGCTGCGAAGTGCACGTTATTCACGCGCCATGCTGTGACCACTGCCGCTGCCGCCGCCAGGGCACAGAGGTGCTGGACGCCAGCGACGGCGCGCCGGCGAGCCGGTCTGCTCGCGGCTGCAGACGCTTATCTGCCGCGGGTCCCCGGTCCGTCAGCTCAAGGTCAACATGACCGAGGGTCGCCTGCCGTGCCAGGACGCTTGCGTGGCCGACACCGGCCGTGTCCCGGCCACATACCAGCGAGGCGTGACACATACCGTGTCACGGCCCAGCGGACGAGGCGGGCGGAAGCGTCGTTTTCGTGTTCTACCCCACCGAGAGCTACAGCCGGATCGCGGCCATGGTGCCCGGCCTGCTGGTCTGGGCCGGGGACGTGGGAGGCGTAGCCGGCCTCTGCCTCGGCATGAGCCTCCTCAGCTTGTTCGAGGTACTGATGATCACGCTGGGCGGCGCATGGGAACTGATGCGCCTGCCCACCGGCTTCCAGTGGTCGGGAAGGCATTGGTGCGTATGAGTGTGTCGACGCACTATGTGAATGCGTGATGCCACATTGCATCGTGTTTTGGCTTCTGTAAACCCCGCTCTACCCTTCATATCGCCGTGCCATCGGCCAGGCATAACGATTTTTCCAGCGGTCTGCCATAAGCCTGGCAGCGACCCCACCTCCAGGTCGTTCCAGGGGCGGATCTATACCTTTTTTTTGGGGGGGGAACCTTTCGTTGCCAGCTGCCTGGTGTTGGATCCGAGGTCCAGTGCATGGTGCCTCTCGCGGGTACCTAGTGGAGACACCATTTAAGCACCGAAATGATGCGGAACGGAAAGAAATGTTTGATACCGCACCATCAAAGTTAAAACAGACGGTAAGTAGACGAAACTTTTATGAAGTTCTCGGAATGTTTGGGGGGGCAAAGCTTACTCTCAGAGCTTTGGGGGGGGGTCATGGCCCCGTGATCCCCTCCCCCCCCCCCAGGATCCGCCTATGGGTCGTTCTTAACAGCTCCTGGAGCCGACAGACGGTGATTCAGGGTCCCTCACAACACCGCGTTACGGAACGGCGACTGCAGCGGCGTGCCTGCATTTCATTAGTCACTGCTAGCAGTCAGCGCCGTGCGACCGAACGATACCGAGTCACTAACCACTCACACTACCGAGTCACTAACCACTCACACTAGCGAGTCACTAACCACTCACACTACCGAGTCACTAACCACTCACACTAGCGAGTCACTAACCACTCACACTACCGAGTCACTAACCACTCACACTACCGAGTCACTAACCACTCACACTAGCGAGTCACTAACCACTCACACTAGCGAGTCACTCACCACTCACACTAGCGAGTCACTAACCACTCACACTACCGAGTCACTAACCACTCACACTAGCGAGTCACTAACCACTCACACTAGCGAGTCACTAACCACTCACACTAGCGAGTCACTAACCACTCACACTACCGAGTCACTAACCACTCACACTAGCGAGTCACTAACCACTCACACTACCGAGTCACTAACCACTCACACTAGCGAGTCACTAACCACTCACACTAGCGAGTCACTAACCACTCACACTACCGAGTCACTAACCACCCACGCCCGAAGCGACATGACACTCCATCAGGGTATCTGGAAACACGTCCACTTCCATCCCCCCCCTCCTCCCCCGTTTCTTCGCTGCAGCCTGGTCCGTCGTGAAATCAGTTCACTGGTGGCTTCTGAGCCTCACCCGGGTGGCAGGGTAAGTCCACTGACGTCAGTCTTATGAGGCGTCGCCCCGAGCACGCCAAGCGCGCTATCGCCACCAGATGTGTCAGTCAGGCGACGGAAAGCTCCCATAATCGTCAGAGCCGTACAAAGTTTCAGTTAGATGGCCGTTGTGATGCAGTTTTCTAAAAGTGCAAGGAGTTTCAGAAGTACACATTACACGGGCTAAAAATGGGAATGAAAATGGGAATGATGGGAATGGGAATGAACAATGGTGAAATTCATGGATATACGTTTCGAGACACGAAAGTATTATATATTTTCGCGCCAACACTGTAGGGACGCAATTTTGGTTGGGTCTAAACGATCAAAGAGGAAGCTGGCTGTGACTGCGTACATAAATTCTATAACATGCGCATATTCTTGGGTCTGAATGACCAGTAACGATAACCATTTTCCGTAAGGCAAACGTAAACGTTTTTAATTTTTTATATAAGCCTGTGCCTTACTGAGTAGTATGTCTTGTTAAAAATCGAGTGCAAATCTTTGATTTGAGATGTTACCTGCAACGGCTGTCAATGGCGCTGTTATTTGGGAAAAATACATCCTGCTAGGCTGGAACATGGTCATTTCTGCACCAGTTTGCACAACTTTGCAACGTTTGAAGACATTTATGCTGCAAGCGTCAGTGTAAACGCACATGATTCAATGCAAACTTGCAAAGGGACTTTCAACCATTCACAAATTGCTTCGCAGTGCTAAATGTATAATCGCAAAAGAGCAGCG